ATGGGGCCACGAGCCTGAGGATATTATTCATCCTACCACGGCATGCCTCTGTTTACTTAAGAAAGTAGAAAATATAAATATATTTGGAATTTATTGCTATTTTTTAAGAGGTTAAAAAAAAGGGAAGGTTATTTATGGGAAAGGAAGAAATAGTGATAGACGCTAAATTTCTCTAAAGATACCTTGCTTTAGGAAGGATGTAAATATTTTAAATTCTTCTATACTTACAAAAGGTAAGCCCTTAAAATATAAAGTAACAAAAATGAACCATTAATATTTCCAGTTTATGATATCACCAGAGGGCCTCTATTCTAAATGAATTAAAAATACAGGAAATTGTGACCATATAGTCCTTACTGGGTAACAGTTTAAAGATAGAAAAATACGTTGTTGTTTTTATTTTGAAGACAAGAGTTTTACTCTTTTGCCCTCGACAGAGTGCCACAGCATCAATAGCTCACAACAACCTCAAACTCTTAGGCTTAAGTGCCTCTCAGAGGCTGGGACTACAGACACCTACCACAATGCCCGGCTATTTTCTAGAGATGAGATCTCGTTCTTGCTCAGGCTGGTCTCAAACTCCTGAGCTCAAGCAATCCAACTACCTTGGCCTCCTAGAGTGGTAGGATTATAGGTGTGAGCCACCATGCCTGGCCTAAAAAAAAGAGACTTTTTAAAACATTGACACTGTTACATGCATAATATAAGATGAAACATAAATTGTTAACATTATTGACAAATGAGATTTTTGATATGGAAGAAAGAAGATATAAATATGAGATGATGAAGTAAAGATCTTCTTGGACTGAATTTAAACTCAAAGTATTAAAAAAACCACATGGAGGGCGGCACCTGTGGCTCAGCAGGTAGGGCGCCGGCCCCATATACTGAGGATGGTGGGTTCAAACCGGCTCTGGCCAAACTGCAACAAAAAAATAGCTGGGCATGGGGGCAGGCGCCTGTAGTCCAGCTACTCAGGAGGCTGAGGCAAGGAAATCACCTAAGCCTAGGAGTTGGAGTTGCTGTGAGCTGTGTGATGCCACGGCACTCTACTGAGCGTGATAAAGTCAGACTCTGTCTCTACAAAAAAAAAAAAAAAAAA